GCTCCGCTCCCCCGCCGCCGCCGAGCTGCCCACGCAGCAGCTTCGCCCGCCGCAGATGTGTTTGGGGTTTTTTCTTTGCCCCAGCGGGTTGCCTTAGCGATGGGACTGGGCTGCCCTCCCCCGAAAGCCGCTTGGCGGAAAGACTGGCTTTTAGCCTCCTGTCATGCTGTCTGAAAATCTCTTCTCGCTCTCTCTGCTATCTTCAAGCTGGCAATATAAAGAAAAGAAAGCAAACTCAGGAACTCCCATCCCAACCCCTGATCCTAAGCTTCCCAAATTATTGTCCCTTTTAAAAGTATTACAAATGGCAAGTGCTTAACTACCATTGGAGGTGTGGGAGGCAACAGCTCAGGTGTCTCACAAATCCCATGTCTTAAAAATCAGCTCCTGAGCCAGAGCAGTTGAGGGAAGGAGGCCTTCTGGTTTGCTTCCAAGTGAAACAGGACTCTGTTTTCCTTTGTTCCTAGGTTCATCCGGAATTGTACGTTGACAAATCAAGGGGAGATAAACTGAAGATCAATCTAGACGTGATTTTTCCACATATGCCTTGTGCTTGTGAGTCAGACTTCTGAACGCTGGGGATAATTTTCACACCTGCCAAGGGCCCAACAGGCTCAGTGGGCCTTGTGCTTCCGAGTGCTGCATTGCTGCTTGGACCACGGACAGGGAGGAATTGGTGATCCCTTGTGGTTACACAGTGGTTCCAGCCAGGCCCGCTAGGTGCATAAACCAGCGCTTCCAGTCAGGCACTATTATTTTTCTAGATTATAGAGAAGGCTAAGGTATAAACCCACGTACAGTTCTGTGTGGTGTTGTACTTTGTCAGAGAGCTCGCTAATACTGAAAAAGCTGGCAAAGAGTTCACTTAGGACTCAAGATTTGACTGTATTGCTGTTAAAAAACTTTAGAGTCTCCTTTGGAAGTTACTTGACAAGGCACAACTTTTCCGTGATTTTTGTGCTTAAATTCTGACTGTAATGCCGATGCCACATGATAACCTTTCTCCAAAATTTTTAAAATCAGTGAGTGTTAATAATCTGATTACCTTTTAGGTAATTCAATTTAGATTGGAAAAAAAGGTGCAGGATCAAGTCATGGAGAATTTTGCAAGTGTTACTGGGTATTACTGCTGTGCACGTTATCCAACTGTCCGCTAATCTTCCCTGCCTTTTGTTCTGTTGTAGTAATTCCTTTGGGTAATGCATTGGGCTCTAAATGTAGTGAGTCTGATGTCCCTCTGACCACGCAAGATACTATTGGTCTTTGCCTTCCTCACATTTAAAAGGGCATGGGAAGGGCAGAGAGGCTGGAAGCCTCTGCTGTTTTCTGCAGAGAAGCTGTCAGCCTTGTAAGAGAGCATGTAGCCAGCAAGCGTGTCATGATGCTTCAATACCAGGCCGAGACCACAGACCTTCTCAGTCTTCTTTGTGAAAAGGGCTCACAAGGAAATGTGCTGATGTTGAAGGAGGAAGGGTGAGGGCGTAGAGGTAGGAGGCAGCTTTCAACCAATTTTAAGCTTAGCTCCTGAAAATGGTTCTGGGCTTTGAGGGGTTTGGTTTTGGGTTTTTGCCTTAAGTGTATTACCTTTCAGGGTAACACTTTCTGTGGCAGTTGGAAACAGCCCTTCTTGTACACCAAACCAAACCCCGCATTTGGAAGGGTCATTTAGGGTGCTGCAACATGCATTTTATTCCCTATACGTCACTTGGCCCCAACTATACATGCTCTTTCTGTTTGGCACACCCTTGCTGAAAGCTTCTGTATTTTCACTGGTTGAATGCTTCCTCAGCCTGCCACAGGCCATGGCAAATGTGTGTTTATAGACCACTTTCCTTGCTCACTGGTTCCAGATCTGAGCATCGATGCCATGGATGTAGCAGGAGAGCAGCAGCTGGATGTAGAGCACAATCTGTTTAAACAACGTTTGGATAAAGCTGGCAATCGTGTGACTCCAGAGGCCGAGAGACACGGTAAGATGCTGTTCTGCCTTTCTTGGATGGATGTTCTCGTAGTCTTCCATCGCTATATGCCTGTTTTGAGATTCATGGGAACAAGTGACAGCTGAAGAGCATTTAAACACCACATACTCTTGAAAAGATTATAGCATGCAAATCTATTGAACTGGCAGATCAGACAAACTCCTATTATACTCGCTACTTTTGCGAGACAAATCTTTGCCTTGTCCCTCTGAAATTATGACTCAGGGATGCATTTCAGGAATAAAGCTGCTGAGATAATGGTCTTTTATGACTAGAAGTCAAGCAGCTGTTCTGGCAAAACTTGACTTTGGTTGTATCTTTAAGTCAGTGGGCTGACAAATGGGATGACCTGGTTAGAGGAAAGAGCCTCTCTCCAGAGAAGGCTCTAGGGACTCAGCCCTTAAGCCTAAACTTGCACCTTACTACATCTGCTTTGTGTGTGTTAATGCATACCTAATAAACGTATTTTAGTTGATGTATCAGTTACAAGTTTTAGTAAGTTGTCCTTGGCTTCATAAACCTCTTATCTACATGTTTTACGTGTTACAGCTCATTGTTGTACTTTGATACAAACCAGAAACGATTCTGGCAAAGTGTTGCAATCTAACAGCAATACTGTCCTGACTTTTCCTTTGCAAAACATGAGCTGCTTATTACCTTTTCTGGGCAATAGTGTAGTTCTACATATCAGCATGAACTAAATTTGTTGGTGTCACTCAGATTTAACTTTTCTGTTCTTGAAGTTGAAAGGCTAAACTAAGCCAAGAGCTGAACAATAGGAGAGTTTCTCCCATTGTCACGGGAATGTGGTGATAAGTGTGTCACTTAGCAGCCTTTCTGTATTCAGAGGTTGTGGCATTACAAATTTAAGGTCCGGGGACAAAACCAGCTTTTCTGTATCTAATTCTCTGTAAACACATGTAAGCCTCCTGCCTTACTTGTATTGCCAATCTGCGTCGGCTCACCTAGAAGAGGCACTTTAAAAGAGATCAGATGCATTGCGTGCAACAAGCAATTTCTTCTGTTGTCTGGACAATAAATGATTAAATTCTTTATTGGTGGTTGTTATCGTTTCCCTCCTTTTAACGTGGACAGAGTTTTCCAATTTCACATATCATATCTGTGTGCAAGTTGAGGACCATGTCAACAGCAAGAAACCCTGCACGTAGAGTTTCATGTACTGCAGTTTCTTTATAGGATCTAAACTGTGTGCATTACTTCTGGATGCTGTCTCTGAGACAACTCAACATGCAGCTACTGATTACATTTAAAAAGCTGTTACTGGTTGTTGTATCTTGAAAGACTCCATGTATTTTACAGGTGTTTTTGTTCAAATGGTGGGAATCATGGCTTTGACAAAGCATAGCAGCTAGCTATTAAGCTGTATTCTTCCCGACTCTATCTTTTAGTGTAATTACAAGATTAAAAGCCATACTGCTTCTTAAACAATGAGTTCTTAAGTGCACTTTCAACTACTTTGAATGTAGTAAACTTCAGAAAGAAAAGTCTTGCACAGTTGTTTAATAATGGGTATATTTTCCTAAAAGTTTTTGTTTGTTTGATCATAACTACCATAAAGTATTTGATTAAAGAAATAAGGTTAATGATTGATTAATCATGCATATTTCATACTTTCTAATTAAAATCTCTTTTTTGTGTGGCTAATATGAAATATAGACATCTTTAATACTCACTTCTGTCCACCTGTTATACCTCCCAATCTCAACAAACAAGACCCTGATAACATTTTGTCCCCTCAGCAGTGTCTGACTATGTACCTTACCACCTGCCGCAGCTTTAGTTATCCAAGGGGCCATCTTTTCAAGGCTTATAGAGGGTAGTGCAGCAGTGCCTAGATAGTGAGCCTTAGAGGGCTTTCGTAACCCAGGAGACTTGGTCCTGTCCCTCAGGATTTGAAACAGCTTGATTTTAAGGGGGCCTCTTATTATAAGAGCCAATGTTTTTGAAAATCTTAGACACAAAATTCCTACGCTCACTTATTCCTAACTCCAAAGTTTGCAGACCTGTGATATTTGTTTTGGTTCTTGACAAAACAAAACTCCTGTTTGAGTTTTCTGTAGGCATCTCCTGCCCTTTGGCAGGTTTCAGCTGTTGCCAGCTGTAATCTCTGTTACAAGTCCCTCTTCAGCCTTCTGCACGTAAGAACGTAAAACTCTGTGAGTTTGTGCCCCAGCTGTAGTGCAGCTGTGCATTCAACACACATGTGGCACAGACACTGGCAGAATTGTTAAGCCCCGAAGAAGGCAGAAATGCCTTGGAGATTTCTAGTGAGCAGTGGTTAACATGTCGTTGTCCTCCTGGAGGACTGGGTGTCAATTTTCCACTTGGGAGACTGCTACTCTGATCTTGTTTCACAGCAATGTATAACCGTGTTCCCTGTGCATTTTGGGACAGGATTATGCATTATGTGCTGTTGACTGCTATTTAAAATTCTGTTTGTATAACAGGTCCTGTATCAGTCGCAATTTACTGATTGGGTCTACTTTAGATAATGTTTTAACAAAGCCTTTATGCATGTAACATCCGATGAGTGCTGCAGCAAGGCTCACAGGTAGCCAGTTCTTTCTGTGGAGGGTGTTCTTGAGATGACAAATGCTACTCTGCTTCTTGGTCTTCGCACCTCAACAGGCTCTATGCGTGCCATTTCAGATGGGCCTTGGATGCAGGATGCACAGCTTCCGACACAAAATTGTTGCATTCCTGTGTAGAACAGTTATTGTGCGTCAGACAAAACAAGAGTATGAGATAGCATTTCTAGACATGCCTCACCACTTTGAATCCTCTTTTGTCTTAGAGCTGGGGAAAGAAGAAGAAAAAGTGTTTGATCCAAATTCTTTGGATGCCGATCGCTGCGAGAGCTGTTATGGGGCAGAGTCAGAGGACATTCGGTAACCTTTACAGCTTTTTGTATCTTCTTAACACTTGAATTAATACAGTTATGTTGCATGCACGTTTTTTTTCAAAATGTCTATGAAGGTCTGCACAATGAAATTCTCCTGGGCATGTGTTCAGAGAATGATGAGAACTGTTGTGGTTTTGGTATGCCTTTGGAAGCTGCACTCATGATTGTTAAGAACGTGCAGAGTTAGGTTGTCTAGTTTGTCTACATGCCTGTTTAAGGGCAGTGCAAACTGCACTACCTTTGCAGTAGCACCAAGATTGTATCTTGGCAAACAGTATCTTTTCTGGGATTATTTGGTGACCAGAGGGGAGCTGTGTAAATTGTTTCACCATTACATGAGCTGTTTTGGAATAAAACCTGGTTATGGCTTTGCCTTCTCAACTTCTGCTGCAGGCTTTGCATCCTTATGGGAGCAAAGACCAGACATTTATCACTCACACAAACAACGGGTGTCATTTGCTGTTTCTCATTCCTCCTACCTGTGAATTCCTGTAAGAATGATCCATGATAGTTCATAGGTTCTGGACTATCCTTTGCTATTATTGTCTCTGTAGTAACTTGGTTTGTCCCATCTGCCAAGATGCGTCCTTCCCTAGAGATGTTTCCATCTTGAGGGATTTATGATTCCAGCCTTCAACTTTTTCTTTTGCCCAGCAAAACATGGAACCAAGAAAGAAACCTGTTTTTTCCGGTGACCAAGATGTTATCCAGAGTTCGAAAAGTAATGAAGAAAGTTTGCCATTGACCCTTCCTCCAATGTTGACAGCCTTGCCCTAAAAACGGAAGAATAGAAACAGGCAGATGCTTTGTTCACATGGGGAAGTTCCAAACTGCTCAGAACTGTGGGACACTCATGTCGTTTTTGTGGCAAATTTCTTTGCTAAGGAGTGACTTGGCTGTCTAAATGGACAGGCAAAGCCCTCTTCAGACTCAAGTGCTACATTGAAACAGCTTGCATCCTCATGCCAAAATCTCAAAAAGTACTTCAAGAAGCTTGAACTCCTTCGGGAGCATTAGGCCACCTTTCAAGGTCCAGTCCCTGATGTTTGCTTTATTGTTCTATTGAAAAAAACCCACCAAGGATTTGAGTGCTCAGCTGGAGCATCTCTTTATAGCGATAAAGATGGTAAGATGGTGCTTGTGCTTTTGCAGGTGTTGTAATACTTGTGACGATGTCAGAGAAGCATACAGGCGGCGAGGCTGGGCCTTCAAGAACCCGGATAGCATAGAGCAGTGCAAGAGGGAAGGGTTTAGCCAGAAAATGCAAGAGCAGAAGAACGAGGGCTGCCAAGTGTATGGTTTCCTAGAGGTCAACAAGGTGAGAGATGGGTTTTGCTGTGAACCTGCTGCATGATAGTGATGACTGTGAAAAGGCAGAGTCAGGGCATTCCTCTCCTTTTCCAGCTTTAGGTGTTCACAGGACTGATATAATAACCCCTGGACTCAGCAAGGTACTTGTACCCATAAAGGGATTCAGTAGGAGAGTCAGGAAAAGTGGTGGGAAGGGGCTAATTCTCTGTTTAGTTGTGTGGGCTGGTAGGAAGCATGCCAGCTGGAGAAGTGTTGTGGTTTAACCCAGTAAGAAGCTAAACACTACACAGCCATTTGCTCACTCCCCCTCCCCCGGGGAGGGTTGTCCTGGTTTCAGCTGGGATAGAGTTAATTTTCTTCTCTTCTTGAGATAAGAACAGTTTAATAATTGAAATAAAGTAAAATAGTAATGATAATAATGATGTAATAATAATAATAAAAAACCAAAGCAAGTGATGCACCATGCAATTGCTCACCACCCGCCAACCGATACCCAGACAGTTCCCGAGCAGCGATCGCTGCTCCCCAGCCAACCCCCCCCAAGTTTCTATACTGCCCATGATGCCATATGGTATGGAATAGCCCTTTGGTCAGTTTGGATCAACTCTTCTGGCTGTGCCCCCTCCCAGCTTCTTGTGCCCCTGGCAGAGCATGGGAAGCTGAAAAGTCCTTGACTGGTGTAAGCAGTACTTAGCAACAACTAAAACATCAGTGTGTTACCAACGTTATTCTCATGCTAAATCCAAAACACAGCACTATGCCTGCTACTAGGAAGAAAATTAACTCAATCCCAGCCAAAACCAGGACAAGAAGCTTAGCTTTTCCTACCATCTAGATAAAAGAAAAACCTCTTTTTGCCGAGGTTTCTGGAGGAGGAGAGCCAGCTGCTTTGAGGTTAGATTGTCCACCTGCCCTTCTAGTCTCAAAACAGAGACCACCAGCGGATGCTGGAGATAACAGTAACCAACAACTTGCCAGCAGAGGTGCTGGGGAGAGTGAAATGTTATCTTTAGAAAAACAGTGGAAGCAATACTATTGGAGTTGTTTGTCAAAGCTGAAAATGCTCAGAGAGGTGGTTTTTGCAACTGGTGTATGAAATTGTAGTACGACATATACCAGATAACTGTGTGACTACCCTGTCATTTGGTGGGTTACCAAACACAGAACACATGGACATGCAGGTTACATACCCAAGTACATTCTAGAAGTCAGGCCCAGGCTGATTTTTTTTTTTTTTTAAATTCAAACTCTGTGGGTTTTTACATCTTCGTGTACTGTTTCTGGAGACCACATTCTTTATTTCTGGAAAGTAAACCTTTTATTCATGAAGGCAGATGTTGTGATTTGAGCATCATCATGGGTACCGAACCGTTGCAGGACCCTCTATCACAAATTCTGATGAGCAGGAAAGATTCCAAGGGGAATGCTGGAGGTAGCAAGTGTCCAAGGGTGGGTTTTCCCACTGGGGAAATTTCTGGGGCCTGTTGTTATGCACTCAGAATTTTGCACATCTCCATTCCCACTGGATGTGCAGTTAACTTAAGCAGTAGGTTTACACAGACACTGAAGGTGTAGCATGTGAGCTTGGGATATTCACGTCTTCCAGGGGAGAGTGTGTATGATTGCTGGTTAGTGTCAGGGAGGATTGGCACCTAATATCCATATCCCTTTCAGATTCCAGGATAAAATTTTAACAACCTTTGTCTTTTTGGCTTTTTGGGGGGGTTGGGTTTGGTTTTTTTTTTAGGTTTAGTGCTTTATTTTTGCATGCAGCTCATTTTCATGGATGTATACATAGGATCACTGTTTATTATATTACATTTTTTTTTACCCTGCTCATTCTCCATCTCAGTTACTTTCTCCACTCCTTTCCTGTGATACCTTTTTGCATTTCCTGCAGCAACAGTCAGTTCCCTCCCAACAGACTTAATACCTCCTTCTTCCCATTTTTATGTCCACTAAAACAATCTGCATAGAACAGTTATTATAAACATCATTATGTAATTGTGGCTTTCCGTGTGACTGCCTGTGAGGAAGAAAGGAAATTCATATCTGTTTTAGGACAATATCTGCTGATATTGTCGCCTATGGAAATGAGTTGCTTGGTGTATATCTTGTTTAAACAAAAATTTAAAAATCCAAGCAGTACGACTGCTTTATTTGTATAGATTCAGACCTTTTAATGAAAGATTACTATCTCCTGCAGGTAGCTGGAAATTTCCACTTTGCACCAGGAAAAAGTTTCCAACAGTCTCATGTACATGGTAAGGTATTTTCTTTTCCTGCTTATTGTGGCCTTTAGCTTCCAAGTGTATCTGACTGTTTTCTTTTAATATCTTTGCATTGCTATCCATAATAACGGCAGCACTGCTTCAGTGGGGAGGACATTGTTGAAGTTTTGTGACAGATGTTTAGAACCATCATGAACAAATAGAAGAGTATTTTCTGGGGGTGGTGCCACATGGGTGTGGAAGAACGTGGAGGAGAATGTTACTGGGCAGTCTCTCAGTCTCACTTGTTCCACAAAACATTGCTGCTCTGCTGTAAAACAACCTCAAGTAAGGTGTTCAGTCCAGGACCTGAATCTCAATATCTCTGGAAATGATATTTTGGAGAATACCTCAGGAGAATTTTAAAGCAATTCAGAGCTTTTAGAGTAAAATTTAAGTTGTAAAAGACTTCATCAAGTATATATATAAATACACAGTGGCCAGAATAACATTGGTAGTTTATAGAATCATAGAAAGGTTTGGGTTGGAAGGGACATTTAAAGGTTATCTAGTCCCACCCCCCTGCAATGAGCAGAGACATCTTCCTGAGTCTGTTACAGTCTATTGAGATCCCTCAGTGGCTCTCTTTCGGTACTTTTGCCATCTCACCATGAACCCACGTAAACATTTTGCATTTACAACACCCTTTGGCAAGGCCTTCAGCAGGTCTGCTCTGCTGTAAGAAGAAACACCTCCCCTCGTTTGCTTGCTCCCACTAGCTGTACCTCATGGCCCTTGTTCCTCTGTTGGGAAA